CAGTTTCTTCCTGACGGTGCGGGGTCCTTTGGCCCTGCCCTGGTACCTCTCACCCTCGGAGATGCCGAACTGGTCGATCAGGTGGAGCTCCGCGGCCTCGAAGAACTCCTTGATCGCCGCGTCGGGCGTGCCGTCGCTGTCGGTGAGGGGGGCTGACCAGCTGATCTGGGTCGCCGCCTGCAGGGATTTCTCGCGCTGCTCAGCCGGGACCTCCGAGCCCACGTCAAAGAACCTGGGGGTCTTGAGGACCCAGATCATGGCGTTGCTGCCCAGCTCGCTGAAAGTGAGCCGCACTGGCGCGTGTGGGTGCAGGGTTGTGGGCTTGATGACCTCCACCTTCGGGCTGAGGCCAGCGAGCGCCGTGGAGACCACGAAGAAGTCGTAGATCTGGTCGCCGCAGGTGAAGGTCGTGGGCGCTACCACCACTCCGCCCACAGCCCGTGGCCACCAAGAGGCGGCGAGGACGCTGGGGTCCATATTCCAGTCGGCCCCCACTATGAACGGCTCGTGGAGGCTGAGCAGGAACTCCTGGAGGTCCGACAGCAGCTCCAGGTTGAGGCCTGCCATCCTGGTCGAGTGCACGAGGTAGGCGCTGACCGCCGTGACCACGAGATCGCCAACGGCCACCCGTCGGGCCAGGATGCGGGCACTGTGCTGGTGCCAGTCGTGGTCGATCGCCGCCACGCCCCTGGTCGTTGAAGCCAGCACCCCGACTCCCGCCGAGACCGCCTGCGCCGCCTGCCCCGTGCTGTGGACGCTGCCGAAGGCGGCGCTGAAGCCGTTGCGCCTGGCCCAGCTGCAGGCGTCGGTCACCTTCTGGCTGGAGGTGAAGCGCGTCTCCTGCACCAGGATGACGTCGTCGCCTCCTCCATCGTCCTGGATCCGCTCCAGCTCCACCTGCGTCGCTGACCAGGTCGAGCCGTTCAGCGTGACGAAGCTGGCTCGCTTCGCTCCCGCAGGCCTGATCAGCTTGGCCAGCTGAAGGGGCTTGGCCTGCGGTCGTCCAGGCTGGGGCTGGGCCGCAGGCTTCGCGGCTGCCGCGCGGCCGCAAGGCGGGCGGCTGCTCGCCGCCTTGGGGCTCCGAACCTCAGGGGGTCTCACGCCCTCGCCCGTAGCCACGTCAACTTGAATTGGGTACCCACGATTCCACATGGGCCCCTGGCTGGGCTGAGGACTGCCAGTCCTTCGGTCGGGCCAAGCCAAGTCCGCCGCAGCGCTTGGCTCTGTCCTGCTGCTGAGCGCCTCGAAGGCGTCGGCCTGCTCGTTGGCCGCCAGGTAGGCGTGCAGGCCGCCGCTCGGCGCCGCCGCCACCACGGAGCGGCTGGGCGCCGCCGCCTCCGCCTCCTCAGCCCCGGCTGGGGCGGGCGGCGCCGCGCTGTCGGGGCCGCCGCCTGGCAGCAGGGTGCTACCCGCGGGCCTGGCCACTGCCAGCAGCAGCGCCAGCAGCAGGTGGAGGGGCCGCCGCAGCAGCCTTCTGGTCGGCAGCGCGCTGGCGGGCCGCCTCGCCTGCCGCTCGGCTCTCCACGGCGGCCGCTGGGGGGGGCCCAGCTCCTGGCGCAGCGCCCGCGGCGGGGGCGGCGGCGGCAGCAGGGGCGGCCGCCTGTCCTGCGGGCTGCGGCGGGGCCGCAGCGCCCTGCTCGGGGGTGCCAGCGGCCACGGCTGCTGCAGGCCCCTCCTCGGTGCGCTTGCGCTTCTTGGCCACCTCCTCCTCGATCTGGCGCTTGATGCGCTGCTGGTGCTCCTGGCAGTTGCGCTCGAACGTAGCCTGCGCGCCCTGCATGATCTGGAGCCCCTCATCGCAGAGGCGCCTGGGGGCGGCCTGCGCCTCCTCCTCCAGCTCCGCGAAGTTGTCGAACGACTCCGCGTCGAAGTTGAAGGTGAGCTGCCTCGCGCCGTCGGGCTGGGCGCCCACGACGCCAGCCGCCTGGGCACGCTGGCGCAGGAGGGCGTTCTCCTCCTCCTTGGCCTCCGCGAGGTTGACCGCAGCCTCGTCGCGCCAGCCGCGGCACTCAGCGAGGTGGTCCTCCGCCGCCACAAGCGCGTCCGCCGCCTCGTCGAGCTGGCGCTGGAGGTTGATCCGCTTCGCCGTGGCCGACTGCAGCCGCTGCTCGAGCGGCTTCGGCGCTGGGGCGACCGCGGGCGCGACGCAGCCCCGCGCGTCGCGGACCGCCTCCTGCAGCCTGGCCGCGACGGCGGGGTCCCCACAGGCGAGGAGCGCGTCGAGCTCGCTCTCGGGCGGGGTCGACCAGGGGGCCTTCGGGAAGGCGCCTCCGCCACGGCCGCCCGCGCCGCCGCCGCCGCCGCCACGGGGGGCTGCACCGCGGCCCCTGCCGCCCTTGCCGCCCTTGGCGCCATCCTTCGGCGGGCCTCCGCCGCCGCCTCCACGATGTGCGAGCTGGGAGCCGCCGCCGCCGCCGTCCGCCCAGACCCCGCCACGGGGCGAAGGCTTCGCGGGCGCCAGCTCCAGCCCAATCCCGCACAGCCAGCACTTCGCGTTCTTGCGGAAGTTCCAGCGGTAGCGGCAGCCCGTGCACGCGACGAAGCCAGGCTCGGCCTTGGGCCCCATCGCTGGGACGGGCGGGCGCGCTGCTCAGCCGCGGGCGCGCAGCAGGCAGGGGCCGACGGGGGCGGACCCGCCGACCCAGAAGAAGTCGTGACCCGAAGGTCCAGGAGGGTGCTGCTCAGGCAGCTCTCACTTGTTGGAAAGGAAGGTGGCCTCAAAGCGGAACCTCCCTCGCGCTCAGAAGTCGCCCCTGAAGACTCGCGGTCGTCGGGGCGGTTCATTGCCTTGAGCCAAAATGGCTGCGGACTGCGGCGGGGGCATTGGATAAGGAACCCTTAGATAAGGAATCCAGGGTCTGGAGGCCGGCGGGGCTCCAATTGAGGCTTGGCCACAGATACCACCGCCGCCATCATCAAATAAGGAACCCCCCAGGGTCTGCAGCCTCCTGGGCACGTTCCTTCATCGACGCCCCCACCGTACTGCCAGTCCGAATGCAGGTGTCCCAATGGACGTCTTCAACCACGCACTGTTGGAAAGCAATGGCAGCGGCGTTAATGGCGTAGCCCTCGAAAAATGCATTACAATGTCGGGCCCAATGCCCAACTCAAGAAGTGATCCCACAACAGAACGCACAGCGAGATGATCAAAAGCATGTACAACATAAAAAACGCAACACGCTTCTGACTCCCCTCTATAATACCGAATGTCTGCCGAGGTTATTCAAGGGGAGGTGATATCATCGCACTTCTTTCCCACGACGAAACCATATAGTTGGCAACCGTCCTGAGCAACCGTTTTGACGTGGTTTTTAACCATAATAGTCAAACAACAACTGAAACATTTGCTGAACACCTAAACACTGCTAGAGCTCGCGTTTCGTCGCAACTCCTCGCTTTCTGTCTTTCAAGCATGGTGCTCACAAGGATCTGGCGCCATGCTTGTGGGGCTACAATCACTCTCATGAAGAAGCACTGGAAGAAGTGAAAGATCTGCCGCGGGGCCTCCCACGGCAGAGCCTTGAGAACAGATGCCGATATGCCATCCGAGCCCGCTGCCTCTCCTTCCCTCAGCCGTGCGCGCGCCTGGGGCAAGAGGCCCATGTCAATCGGGCAACGTCGGGGGTGGGCGGCGCTCTGACAAAGTCTCCGCAACTCTCCAAGACAAGCCTCAGTCTCCTCGCAATGTCGATCACTCGAATAACGATCAAGACCATGTTATCGCAGCGCCTCCTCCCACCTACTCACGCCCTGGGCCATCTGAACCTCTACGAGCATCGGAGGTTGGGGGGTGAGATCGCAGTGCAACGGGGCCCCCCCGCGGGGAAATCGAGTTTCGAGTTCGTGCTCGCGCCGCGCGCGCGGGCGAGGCGAAGCTGCGTGGGCGGGCGAGAGGAATTCACTCCGCTGTCGCTAGGGGTCCGCCAACACAAATATTTCCCCCTCGGGCCTTGTCAAGCGGGGGCCCGCATTGTCCCGTCGGTCGCTCGCCGTTGCCCCGTCGGTGTCCCGTCGGGGTCCTGTCGTGAGATCGATGGTGAGATTGATCGCACACTCGGTCTCACATTCGGTCTCACTATCGATCTCACTATCGATCCCACTATCGATCCCACATTCGGTCTCATAATCGATCTCACTATCGACCGCACTATCGATCTCAGTATCGATCTCATTATCGATCTCACAATCGATCTTACCGTCGACCCCACAATCGATCTCACTATCGATTTCATTATCGATCTCACTATCGATCTCACATTCGGTCTCACTATGGAACTGACGATCGATATCGCAATCGATCTCACAATCGATCTCACAATCGGTCTCACTATCGATCTTTCAATCGATCTCATAATCGGTCTCACTATCGATCTCATTACCGATCTATCTATCGATCTCACAATCGATCTCACAATCGATCTCACTATCGATCCCACTATCGATCTCGCATTTGATCTCACAATCGATCTCACTTTCGGTGTCACTATCAATCTCACGATCGACCTCACGATCGATCTCACTATCGATCTCACTATCGATCCAACATTCGGTCTCACATTCGGTCTCACAACTGATCTCACTATCGATCTCACCATCGATCTCACTATCGATCTCACTTTTATTTGGTATCATGGGCCAGGGGGTGCCGTTCTTGGACCACTTAGTCGTCAGAGGACAAATGCCTGCCGTCATTTATTGGCCACGCCGTCCTTCCAGTTCCCCTGCCTGTGCGAACTTGCATGTATCAGCATCTCCTCATCGTCATCACCACCATCATCATCATCATCATCATCATGACCGTCTTCACCTTCATCCGCCTCGTCCTCCTCCTCCTCCTCCTTCTCCTCCTCCTCCGCCTCCTCCTCCTCCTTCTCCTGCCCCTCACTGTCCTCCTCCTCCAGCTCAAGGCGCCCGCTGCGGTCGCGCTGCCCCCCCTGGGCGCCCCCCTCGCGCATTTCTGCGGCCGGGCCATCCGCGAGACGGGGGGCCGCGCGGGTGACATGAAGAAGGCGAAGCTCATGAAGTGCGCCGCCAGTCTTGGGGCCCCCACCAGGAAGCCGGCGGCGCCGACGCAGTGGCGCGCAATCAAAAACGCGCGCGAGGATTGCAAGCTGCGGGAGGCCGCTCAGCGGCAGCCTTCCCCGGCGCGCGCGAGCGAGCCAGGCGCTGCCAGCTCGGACCTGGCGGCGCCGTCAGTTTCGCATGGGCCCGCGTCGGCGCAGGCCCCGGCGCGCGTGGGCGAGCCAGGCGCTGCCAGCTCCGGCCCGGCCGCTCCGTCCGTTTCACGCGGGCCCGCGTCGGTGGGGGCACCAAGTGCGCGCGGGCGGGTCCGGCTCTTCCAGTTTGAACCAAGCGCAGGTAGCGCCGTCCGCCCCCGCCACGGCTGCGCGGAAACAGGTCGCGGGGGCGGCCGATGTCACCTCCAGCGACGCGCGGAACATGAGCCGGGAAGTGTTGCGTGCACTGGCGACCTGGGGGTCGGGACTCGGGAGAACAGAAAGAGCTCGGAGGCGCTCTGGGCGGCGCGCTGTCGCGCACTCCCGCAGGCCCCGCAGCGACAGCACTCCCGGGCGGGCGCGAGTGAGCCAGGCGCTGCCAGCTCCGACCTGGCGGCGCCAGCAGCTTCGCGTGAGCCCGCGTCGGGGTCTCGCACTGCCAGCTCGAGCCAGGCGCAGGTTAAATCGACCGCCTCCGCCACCGCGACGCAGAACCCGGTTGCGGGGGCGGCCCGTGTCACCTCGACCGACGTGCAGAACATGAACAAGAAAGAGTTGCGTGCGCTGGCGGCCTCGTTGTGGGTCGCAGCTAGGGACGCCCGACAGTCCACGAGGCTTCTCCGCTCGGCCTGTCGTCGCGCCCTCACAGGGCAGGTTGGGATAGCTTCCTTTTTCCAGCCCGCCGTGGCTCCAGGCGCCCCGGGCCGAGAAGCAGGCGACGCGCCAGTCTTTTACAGCGCGTCCGCAATGGATCCAAGCCCAGCGAAGCCGCGCGAACGACCGAGGGCCGTTCGCAAACCGTCGTGGCTGCGTAAACCAGCCTGGTTGTCTGCGCTGACAGCGCGCCAGAAGAAAGTTGGGAAGCGGCGCACTCAGCGCGTGCTCCGTAAGGATCGGATTCACGACAAGATCCGCAACAAGCGCCCTCAGCGCGCGCTGGCGGCTGCCAAGCGGGGCAAGAAACGATATCAAGAGGACTTCGCAGAGAGAGCAAAGCGCAAGCATCGAGTGTTGAAATCCCGCAGGGAGGCGCCTCGCGCGAATCGGAGGCCGGCGATGCCGAAGAGCGCAAGGGCAGAGCGCGCCGGCGTCCTCGGCAGGGAGGGCAGCTGGAAGCGGACGGCGGAAGAGTCTGCCAGGCTCTGCCAGCAGGACGGCCCCAGTCACTTACCGCCGTGTTACGCGGGGCTGGACCAGGAACACCAGCGGAGGCTGACCTCGCAAACTGTGCGGGTGCCTGGAAGACGTGCAGTGGAGCACGTGCGTGGTGTGCTGGCGTGCGTGGTATAATTTGCCTGCCGAGTACGAGTTCTCGTGCACGCAGCAGGGGCTCAGGGCGCAGCAGGCTCCGTGGTTTTACCCGGGCGCGAGCGTCCTCGCGAGGGCCGGCAAGAAGAGCCACGTGAACCAGTGGCGCCTGGAAGCAGCCGGGTCGGTGGAGGAAGCGCAGTGCTACCTGGCGGCAAACTACCCTTCAGGGGGGTGCGAGAGTATCGCCCGCAGACTGCACGACCCAGAGAGAAAGAGGATCATCACGACTTGCGGTGGTTGTCACATGCACGTCGGCGAAGATCATGTTCTCCCGCCCCCCGCCGGCGAGATGCGCATGCGTGACTTCGTGGTGGGCCCGGTTTGGTGCACCCCGAGGAGCGATGGGTCCGCGATCGCGCATGAGCGCTTCGATGGTGTTCCCCCGCCAGGCCCTGCCAGCGAGGAGGCGTTCTCCAGAGTGCTCGGTTTCAGCGCGGGCGAGTTCGCGCACCTGGTGGCCGCACTTTCGGACAACGAGGAAATGGCATTGGCATTGGTGCATCCGGTCGTGCAAGTGTACATCATCCCTCGCACGGGTCAGTTGGCGCACGTCGGCCGCATCTGCAACTTTCGCCAAAAGGTCAACAATTTCCTCAAGAGACTGCCGGTCATGCCCGCGGACATGCCTGTGGTGCACGTTCGCCCCCATGCGCTAGGCTCTGCCGGCGCCAAGGGAAAGTCGGCGGGCCGGGCCTTATTCAAAGTCGACATCTCCAAACTCAAGGCTGCCTTTTTATGGTTGAAGGCGAACAACCCATATTATGCGGAAATTGGGTGGCGGGGCGACGCCGCCGACGCGTGGACCGGCGACGACGTGGAGGAAGGCGCGACGCGCGAGGAGGCCGACAGCGACGCCTCCCATGTCCCTCCAGTCACTCCGACATGTTTCGTCAAGTGGATGGAGCACGGCCGGACTGAAGCTGTCGCCGGTGACTTCGGGCATGCGATCGGGAACCGACTGCGGGAAGTCATCTCGGACGGGGATTGTGATGGCGAGGGCCCAGGTCCCGCCGGCGCCGCATGCTCTCGCGCGTGGGCGAAGGTCCTGCGCCTCGTTGCAGATGTGTTCGGGAAGAGCGTCTTTCGCATGGCCACCGCGCTTCCGCAGGATATCCTTGCCGTGGCCTTGGCCGCGCGGGGCGTCCTAGACCTGGGTTTACCTCGGGACGGGGGCGCCGCAGGCACGCTTCGGGCACTCCGGTCCCTCGACACAAACGAGTGCCCGGTGGGCCTCCACGTGTTCCGCGCCGAGCTGGACGCCGTCATGGTGGAGGAGCGCGACGAGGGCCCGCAAGCCGTTCACGCTGGCACGACCGCGTCTGCCGAGGCGGGCGACGATGCGGGACTGCGGCAGGGGGTGCTCGACTCGCTGGCCCACGTGGCGCAGGAGGTCATCGGGCGGCCAGTTGATGAGCCAGGCTCTGCCAGCCCGCGCCCGGACGAGGCGCCCGAGGTGGACGCGGCGATGGCGGGGGATCCATCGAACGACGCGCCGCGACAAGGGCCCGCCGACGAGCCCACCGCGGCGCCAGGCTCTGCCAGCGCGTGCCCCGACGAGGACCCGCCGGCCCACGGTCGGCCGGTCAAGTACCCGCGAGTGGGTCCTCCGGAGGAGGACCAGCCCGGGCAGGCCATGCGGGAGGGCGCGCCTGGGTATATTGTGAAAGCGTTCCCGAACATATTTCCATATGGGACCGGCGACTATCACGGCGCCAGGCCCTGCCAGCGCCGGACGCTTCGCTTCGAGGGGCGGGGTCGGCATGTGATGTTGCGGCACGACGGCCGGCTCATGCGCCGCACCCGCTTTCGGCACTGGCTCCTGGACACCATGCTCCGGGTCACGGCCCCGGGCACCCTGCGGACCTTCTTCCGCGCGCGCGAGGCGCGCGAGGAGTACACCCTCGACTCGCTCGACCAAGCGGCGCGAGCTGGTGCAGCAGATGTCCACTGCGACGAATCTGATCCCGGGATCCATCGGCGAGAGGCGGAAGATGCGTCACGAGCTCGAGGCGATGGTCCACCATATCGAAGCAGAGACGGCTGACCTCGGAATGAATGGGGGCGCTGGCAGGATCCCGTCTGGCTTTTGCACACTCACGTGCAGCGTGTACAAATGGGCACAGTTGCACACGACGTTGCTCAAGGCGTACCCGTCTGGCGACGCTGGCGATGCTTCATGCAAGGAGTACTATGCGCAGCGGGGGCCCCTTTCCCCAGGCCCTGCCAGGGGCAGCCCGACGATGTGCCCGGGCGTGCCGACGCGCGGCAGAAAGTCGAGGCGGAGCTGGTCTCCCGCATGGGGGTCGACATCTCCGTGGCCGACATCCCTGACTTGAGCCACTTCGGCCAGGTCGCCCGGGCCGCGGGGCACCTTGGATGGGGGGGTGGTGGTGGTGGTGGTGATGATGATGATGATGATGATGATGATGATGATGATGATGATGATGATGATGATGATGATGATGATGAGGAGGATAAGGGTGGTGATGGGGGCGGCGGCGGCAATGGCGATGAGGATGACGAGGAGGAGGAAGAGGAGGAGGAGGAGGAGTGGGACTGGGAGTAAGAGGACGAGGAAGAATGGGAGGGGGAGGAGGTGGAGGAGGAAGAATAAGAGGAGGAGGAGGAGGAGGAGGAGGAGGAGGAGGAGGAGGAGGCGGCGCCACCTCGGCCAGGTAGATGACTGGTACGCGAGCTTCGAGTGGAGCGAGGGCGGCATCATCCATGCCCACATGGCCTTCTGGGCGATCGGTGCTCCTCGCATCGACAAGATCGAGGCGCCCAGAGAACCAGCCCCAGGCTCTGCCGGGGTGGAGATTGAAGCGCCTCTGCCTGGCCAACATGCGGTGCCGCAGGCGCAGGCGGCGGATCGCCTAGCCGCGTTCTGGGATCGCGCCTACACCGAGTGCGACGTAGCGAAAGCAATGTGTCCGGCGCCTAGCGACGGTCCGCCAGGCTCTGCCGGCGCAGCTCCCTCTGCCAGCCCCTCGGCGCCAGGCCCTGCCAGCCCAGACTTGGCAGGCGCAGTCGGGGTGCGCCAGGGGCTCGGGCCCGCGCGCGAGAAGCAGGTGCGATCTCCGGAGAGTACATCGCATGAGGCCCACGCCCGCTGTCTGTTAGGCAGTCTGGACTCCGGCGGCGCCGACAGTGATCGTTGCTGGGCCGACTTGGTCGACGTGCTGGAAGGGTGTTCCAGGACGCCGCGTGAAGTCTCGGAGGCGGAGTTCCTCGAGCCAGGCTCTGCCAGCTTGGAGGCGCGCCAAGCGAGGGCCAGACTTCGTTTCGTCGCGGCTCTTGCAGAAAGGGCGAACATGCACGACCTGCACAAACCCTACGCCATGGGCCCACCTGCGAAAGACCAGCCGCGCGCGCACGTGGACGACGAACACTCCAACATGGAGCGAGTCTCTTGTAAGAAGTCGCTCCCACGGAAGACCGTGGCCCCTGGCGAGGAAGAGGTCGCGGAGGAGCCGGGCCGGCGTGACTTGCACAGGCAGTGGCTGGCCCGGAACTGCAACTTCCTGAACAATTTCGCCCAGGCTGTCGTGCTGGCGATGCTGTCGAACATGGACGTCCAAGCCACTCTCACAAAAGACGCGGTCATCGAGTACATGGCGAAGTGCATGACCAAGTCTGGGCAGGGCGCGCTGATCGCGGTCATGGAGCATAGCTTCTCCCTGTGCGTCGAGAAGGCGAGGGAAAAACCACCAAGGAGCAGGCAGCGCAGTGCTTCGTTGGTTCAACCTCCAGTCAATCAGCGAGGTCAAGTCGCAGCTCGAGCGCGCGCACCTCATCTTCGGTGCCACGCGGTCCATGTGCACACGAGAGTTCCGGCACCTCTACCTCAGAGCTGAGACGAGGCAACCCAAGACCAAGGCGAAGCTCGTGTCGGAAGCTGACCCTGGGGCTCGCGTCGTCGAGAAATCGCAGGCGGAGCATTGCGCCACCCGTTCCGAGTGGACACTCCCGTCCGACGCAGCGCTCCTCAAACACCACCAATTGACCGGCGAGCCGCTGTGGAAATTTATCCTTCGCAGAGCGGGCACACCAGTGCTGGAGAGCGCCGCGCTCCGCGACGCCAAAGACGACGTGCAGCGCAACTGGCAGCTCTTCCTGGAGTTGCTTAGGCGGTGGGAGTTCAAACGGTGCTTCAACCGTTGCGGCGGGGGCGCGCCGGGCTCTGCCAGCGTCGCGCTGAAGCCTGTCGCAAACATTGTCGTCATCCATCCAGTGGGCAGGTTCACCCAAGCGAATGCTGAAGCTCAGTGGCGCGACGCTTGCTTCTGGACTCTTCTGGCACGCTGCAACCGCGGGGACGCGTGCGCCGGCGCGTTTCGGGACGCAGATCACTTGAGCCAGTTTTCGGATGAATATGTGGCCGAGCTGATGGATCGTTTCGCCAGTGATTCTCCGGCAGATCGCGCGAAGGCACGCATGGCGCAATGCCCGCCCCATATTGCCAAGGCGCGGCATCTCGGGGTGGCCGGGCGCAGCCGGGCGGAAGAAAGAAAGCGCCCCGCAGCTCGGGTGGCCGCCGCCACCGCCCCGGCGAAGAAGGTGAATTTTTATCTTCGTGGAAGAGCAAGCAGATTGGAGGCAGATGCCGTGGGCGGACATGGCCGTGACTGACCAGGAGGAGGCGACTCAGGCCTGGCACAAGGCGGAGAAGGCCAGCTCAGGCCCTGCCAGGCAGCACGACGGGCCGGAGGTCCAGGATGCGGCGGCCGCGGCGGAAGAAGAAGAAAACAATAAGATCAATGAGGCCATGGAGGCTTTCATCCGGAAAGACCTCAAGTGGACGCACAGAGAGCTCCTCGATGCTCTTCTCGTTGCGGGGATCGCGACCCCTTCGGTCCCTCCCATCCGGAATTACATGGCTGCGCTCTACGCGCAATACGGGAACGCTGACGCCGGCTTCCTCCCGCAGTCGTTCAAAAGCCATGCGAAGGACAAGCTGCAGCGCGTTCCGCGCATGCTGGGTCGCACAGGTTTGAAGCCCGGTGGTGGGATCTCCGACAAAAAATGTGCTCGCAGACCGGCTGGCGTGCTGGCTCAACAGAGTCTTGAAATCAGATCGCTAGGTGCCAGAGGGCGCGTCGGGCGGCGAAGACGACAGTGCCGACGACTTCGGGGGGCGGCCACGCAAAGAAAAAACGATCTTGCTGGAGCACGCCGCAAGCGTCGGCGAGATTCCCTGGAACGCACGAGTGTCACCTGAGCAAGCGAACAGTGCTCTCGGCAGGACCATCGCCACGGAGCTCGACGTTGACTACACAGATGCTGTGGATGCGGGCCACCAAGCGCACCCGAGTGGTTTCGACTACGACTGTCTCTCGTGGCAGCCTCTTGCGCCAGACTCTGTCAGCGCTGACGCGGTCGGCTGGGAGCTGGCCCGTCCTGTTCGGCAACTCGCGCGCGCTGATTTCATGTGCTTCAAGGAGAGCATCACAGCAAAGTTGCGGAGCGGCCTGGCGAGCCTCGCCGCGGGGTTCCGGAAGGAAATTGCCTCGGCGCACTCGGACTTCAACGCCGCCGCACAGGAGCTGGATCCGACTCAAACTCTGATGGCAGAGTTGATCGTGGAGTGGGCGGGTTATCGCGCGGCCTGGCGCCAGGCTCTGCCAGCGGCCAAGGGGCCTGCTCGAATCGGTCCGTCGCTCAGGCTAGCCGTGCTGGGCACCGCAGGCACGGGAAAGACACACACCGCGAAAGTCGCCATCAACGAGGTCCGCAAGAGGTTCCGCTCGTACGAGAGCGTTGCCACTATGGCGTTTGCCGGCGTGGCTGCCGCGAACCTAGGGAGCGGCGCCACGACGATCTTAAGGTTGCGCCCCTGCCGCCGGCTCGCCAGCGCCAGCGGGAGGAGGAGGAGGAGGGGGGGGAGAAGGGGCCGGGGCGGCAGGAGGAGGTGGACGAAGAGGAGGAGGAGGAGGAGGAGGAGGAGGAGGAGGAGGAGGAGGAGGAGGAGGAGGAGGAGGAGGAGAGAAGGAGGAGGAGGAGGAGGAGGAGGAGGAGGAGCAGGAGGAGAACGAGGACGTCCTCTGTGCACGGTAGGTCGGTGAGTCAGTGGGCGGGTGGCTTCGGGCTTCGCGTGCCCATCAGCAGAGATGCCGATGCGATGGTCGAAACTGGGTGGGTGGGTGGGTGGGTGGGTGGATGGGTGGGCGATCCGATGGTTCGATGGGTGGCTGGGTGGGTGGATGGCTGGGTGGTGCTGGATGTCGGGCCGGGGTGCTTGGTAGACGGGTTGTGGGCGAGTGGGTGGCCCTCCTTGCGCCACCGAAACTGCTTCTTTGCCTCGTGATGCCCCCGGAAGGGGGCCGGTGGGTAGACAGCATTTTCCACGCGAGCACGGCAGACGCGGCAGAATACCTCGCTGGAGATTGGCTGGGCGCGCTGGTGGAACTCCTCCGGCACGTGGAGCTGTTGTTGATCGACGAAGTGTCGACTTGCGGCGCCGTGGCCCTCGAGATAGTCAGCCGCCGCCTGCAGCAGGTGTCACGCGTGCTGTGGCGCGAGAACTTCGGCACCAGCCCCCCCGAAGACATAGCCCCGTTCGGTGGGATCGGCGTGGTTATCATGGGCGATTTCGCGCAGCTGCCGCCTGTGCTCGCGACGAACGTCCTGCCGGGCATGCCGGTGAATGAAGCTGGCGGAGTGGTCGCCAGAGCCGTGGCGTTGGCCGGGCGGCAGACGTTTGCCGGGCTCGAGGATGTCACGCGCTTACGCCGCATTCACCGTCAGAAGGGAGTAGGAGTCTACCATGAGACCCCCGGATGCTGTAATCACGCAGGAGCACTACGAGCTCTGGAAGACTCACGAGATCGACGCGCTCCACGAGTCGGCGCCAGGCTCTGCCAGCCCATGCTTCTGGGAGGGCGGGGAGGCGTTGCTCCAAGAGGCGCTGGTTCTCGTCCCGGAGAACGCCGCTGCTGGGAAAATCAACGGCAAGCATCTGGCCGCCAGGGCACCTCTGCATGGCGCAGAGCCCCCAGCCAGTGCGACAGGAGTGGTTGTCAGGATCGAAGCGCGACACTGCGACCCTCGTGGTGCGAACAAAACTGCTGACGACTTCCAACAGTTGCGTCGGGCGTTGCGCCTATGTGTGGGGGGGGGGGAGGGGGGGGCGAAGGTGATGCTTGCACTGAATCGTATTTGGGATGTCCCCACCGTTTCCCTCGGGCTCATGAATGGGGCCCGGGGTGTCGTCGTCGCCATCATGCGCGGCACGGATGCGCCAGGCTCTGCCAGCGGCGGGCACGCGGATCGAACTGACGGTAGCGCCATCGCCGGCACTGGAATCCCGGGTTCAAAGCACGGGTCGTTGCCCCGAGGGGAGGGCGCGTTCCCAGTTCCGGAGCACCGTGCACTTCCCCGGGTACAAGGGCCCTGCACGCTTTCACGATCTGCCCAAGACTTGGGTGCCGGTTCCTTGCGCGGAGGTGCGAAGTAAGAGAGTGCAGGGGCTTGTCCGCGCTACTATGCCGCTCCGGTTGGCGCGGGCACTGACCATGCATAAGTCGCAAGGCATCGCAGCCCAAGAGGGGACCATTGTGTCATTCGATGGGTGCAGAGGCCGCGCGCCAGTGGCGAAACTCGGACTTGCTTTCGTGGCTTGGACTCGCGCCACGAGTTGGAGCCGGATGGCGTTTCACAAGTTGCCTCCGTTCGCAGATTTCCCTGCCGCGCGTTTGACCCGAGAGTTCTCCGCAATGGCAGACTTTGAACACAAAGCTAATGCTCTTTTCGCAAAGCTTCTGGAGAGGCGCGGCATTTCCCCCGGGGCGCTTGCGGCCCAGCACGAGAAGCATTTGCAGACGACCGCCTTCGCAAAGCAAGGCCGCTACCCCACAGAAGCTGAGGTCGCAGATTTGAAGCGGATGTCATCCACTGTTGGCGTGGCGCCAGTCTCTGACAGCGCTTCTCGCCACTGTGCGCAGCAGTCGGGTCGCAAAGATGCAGGGCCCTGGAGTATTGCGGCATCTTTCCGCGCAGAGAAGCCGAGCAATTATCCCGTCAGCAGCAGGCCCGCGACGGGCAATGCCCCGGGCCGAGGTGGCGACGCAACGGGTTTCGCAGCAGCGGCGGTTCCAAATGCCGAGAACGAGGCTGCGCAGACGATGGTGGACATGGGCTTCAAAGAGGCGGACATCACTCGCGCGCTCGAGCAGACGTCATTCAAGTTCGGGCGTGCACTAGTGTTGCTGCTCAACGGTCTGGATGCGGATCGCGCCAAGTACGACACTCTCGAGAGGTTTCGCCGACGCGCAACGAAGACGGTCCGGCGACTCGATTCTGACAAGTTGGGGGGCGACGAAGTCACCGCACAGTGCTCGCAGCGGGCACGGCGTGAGTTCAATTTCGAGCCGGTGGTTCTCGACCTGGGCCAGTATGCCGGCAAGACCACAGGTGCGTGCTTCTGGTTGTGCCTCAACGCCGGCCTGGTCGAGCGCGCGCCGCACGTTTTGGCCCAGGCTCTGCCGGGCGAGTCGGAGAGCGTCGAGCCGTCGAGCAGCTCTGTGCCATGGGCGCGCGCGTGAGTGCCGGCGGAGACCATCGGCGCGCGCCGCTGGGCGCGGTGGCGGAAGCCATCATCGCCCATCAGCACCACGTTCAACACAGTTGTCGCCATGAGCCCCACACACACACACGCACACACACATATGCACACACCCCACCCCACCCCACCCCACCACCACCACCACCACAACCTCCTTCTCACCCGCAGGGTGGTCGTATAGGTATGCGCAGCCTTGGGCCCCCCCTTGATTCCCTCGCGATTCTGGAACTCAAGACGAGCGCGAGCAATCTCCCTGCGTACCTTCCTCCACCTCCTCATGCTGATCATGTAGGTATCCCTGTCCACCTCCTCCCTCTTGTGCTGCTTCCTTGTCTGGTGGTGCTCCTCCTTAATCATCAACTGCTCCTCCGACAACCTGGGGGGGGGGGCCTTCTGGGACTCGCTGGGATTCTCGGAGGTCCGAAGGGCGCCCTCGACGACGGCCTCGCTCAGATTCTCCAGGGGGTTCGCATCTGGGTCCTCGGAGAGCTCCGCGTAGCGGTTATGCGTCGTCACGGACTGCTCGAGACAACCTCTCTGCATGGCCTCGGTGCGTGGACTCAACCGCCACGCTGTCAAACGCGGCCTCTTCCTGGGGCGAGGATGGGAATGACGCTCCGGGAGCCAGAATTGCAAGAGCTTATGATCACTGAACGTCATCTCTCTCGGACGAGTCTGCGAGGCCTGCATAGGGAGGACCCGGGGGCAAGTAACTTCAGGGAGCTGCCCAGTCCGCGGGAACAGCCAAATAATCATACACAGGCTCATACGTATGCGTACAGTGTCTCCATGTAGTAGTGCGTGTGCCATATGTGTTAGTTAATCTTAGCTTGAAACCAGCAGCAGTTCTCAAGGAAGCCATACAGTACATCTCACGCATGCGATTTGCCCCTTTAGCTTCGCCCCTCCCCCCTCTCCTATTAGCTGGACCCTCGACCGCATCCCCAGACACCCAGAGCCCATCGAGACCCTGGCCAGGAAACACCACAACGTTTGCGCCCGCGGGGAACACGACATCCCTAATTGTGTAATTCTTGTTCATGACACTCACCCCCGCCGTCATCTGAGT